TAGGCTCCAGCACACAGGTCATTGAATTTAATTAGCACCCGATTCTCTGCGTTTAATTTCTAATGCCAAGCGCTCATTCTCAAGCTTCATATACTTGTTTTCTAGCCTCATCTCCTCCAGCTCCCTGTCTTCTTGCTCACTACACCTAAGCCACCTGAGTCGCTGCTTCTCCAACTCCAGCATCTGGGCCTTAATCTGTAGTTTCTGCTCTCCCAATTGAAGTGACCGAGACATAATCGGTTCACTCTGAATCCATTCTACATGTCTGCCTTCAGTGAAATTATGGTTCACATTGGTACAATTATTTGAAGGATGAGGGTCTGATTTTTTGTTACAATCCAAAAGGTTCAAGGCTTTGTTAAAACCCACAGGTTCATACTCTTCCCCATGTTTGCTCCTCTTTTGAGACACCACCGGAAACACAAACGTCCCCCCCTTACCCTTAAGTGAAGCTTGTTCCTCAGTTTCATCATTTCGGCCAACAGATTCTACAATTTGATTGTCTTCGTCAAGGGCCTCATATTTGTGCAGCCTTGACTCCTGAGGATCATCATTGTCTTTACTTTTAAGAGCCAACTGCAAGGACCGTTGAAGAGTTTGATCATGAGGAAGGTACAACCGGTTCCCATTGTGATATGACCACATTTGTTCAAAAAATAATTGTTTTGAACTTAAAATCTTCCTTACATCCTCCTTTGCTCCATCAGACAAGTCTAGCGAGTCTAAAAGTGCTGGCTGCTCAACCACCTTACATGCATTGCCTGTCCCTAGTACATCATTCAGTCTCTTATACTTTTTGTTCAGATCATTAAATTTATCTTCACACTGCTGAGGCGATACATTATAACTCCTCTCAGTCATGAGCTTCGAAATACACCTCCACTTCCCTTTCTTTACAAAAGACCTCTTTCTTCCAACACCATTACAATCAGAGGAAACTTCCTCTCCTATGTAAGAAACAGCATTAATTAAAAGTTTCACCATTTCACCTGTCCACTTTATGCGCTGCCAGGGGGACTCCTTTTTTTCTCTATCACCTTCATGGTTCCCATCAACATCTTCTTCCACTATATTCAACCCATCAATGTTCCTGGCAGATGGTTCCGGTTGCTTAGGTTGTTGCATGTTCCAAACCCTAACCGGGCAATCTTTTTGGAGTTGTTGGGGATAGACCATGAAACTCCAGTATGGACATGTGCTTTGTTGGTGATCAATTTGCATCGATCCTTGCAAGTCTAGAAAACCATAAGAACTGCTCGGCTTCAAGTTCTTACTAGCTGATGATTTACTTTCCATTGTTACACAAGCAACCTCAAAATTGAAACCACTTAAAATTTTCTCATCAAAGGTCAATATAACCCAACATTGCTTCGTCCAACTCTATAAATCAGCAACAATTTGAAGGTAATTCATGTATTCAACAACAGATAACAACAAAACCCAGTTTGAGTCTTATCACGATTTTGCTGGTAGAAGAATACAAATTAAGTTTATGAACTATATGAAGTAACAACTCAATGCAGCTCAATCCAAATAATCAATTTCGAGAAATAAATGGTAGAATATATGGTATCCATGCAGATTTCATCAGTTAAGACAATATCAAGGGGAGTAGATTACAAATATAAAAATAAATTTGAACAGATTGATTCGAACTCACAATACCCAAATGCAGAAAATCAATTGACAAACCAAAAGATTACCTCAACATGAATCAAACTTACAAACTCTTTTCCAGATCTTGAATCCAAATTCGATTCTTCTCAATCCAGTGAGTGTAAGTTTTGTGTTGATGAATACGGCAAGTGATCGGAAGGTAATAGTAAGGTTATTAATGATGGAGCCCTTGGCACAGTTCGGGCTTTAAAGACATCACAAAATCAGACCATCCAATCTGGAATAAATTGGTAAAGTTTTCAATAACTTCCAAATGGAAAATGGTAAAGAGTCTGAAAGTCGGACGCATCCGACTTTTTTTATCTGAGTGGGGGATGACATCATCCCCCACTCACATAAATGTAGTCAAATGTGTTTGACTATCGGATGTGTATCACAACTCCTTCCACATTACTTTCAAATATCCTGAAAATAACTTTTTATTATTTTAAAGAATTAGAAAATGAGTGCTCATCTTTTTTATATTGTAAATATATCTCTTCTTCACTCAAAATTCTATATTAAAAATTTCTAATTCATTACCAAAAAAAATCAAATAAATTATATAACGTGAAATATGCAAATCTGGGTTGGTTCTCAAATCTTTAATTTGTCATTTTATAATTCATAAGTTTAGAGTGATTGGAATTTAAGAAAGGAATAACATTGGTGAAATAATTGAAAGACAAAACCCTTAGATATACTTAAAACAATATAACAAATTTCTCGGACAAATCAAATTTCAAAATACTGCAAATAGTTCATTTGTAATGTATAGGATGTAAAGAAATGATTTTTTTTTTTTTTTCCCTTGCAAAGAACTCCCACAATGCTCTCGGAAGATTTGAACTACAGACCTTTGTACGTAAAGAAATTATTTGAGAACCACTGAAGTATGCACAATGAATTCAAAATACATTTATTTGGTAAAAAAATATAATAACTCAAGAGTTATGTCTACAGGCTTTCAAGTTAACATGCATAGGGTCATTCAAATTCCAAAACGCTTATCCCCTTTTTTTTCATCCATTAATTTTGTTTTTAAGAAACAAAATATCTAGAGGATATGCTTTCCCAGCTCAATGGGGTAACTGATGCACTCAAATATTTTTATCTTAACTTTTTATATAAATAAATAAATAAAATTTGATTTTTTGTATTTTGTCGAAATTTTAAAAAAAAGTTCCAACTCTTAGAGCCGCCCCCCCCCCCCCCCCCCCCCCCCCCCCCCCCCCCATTAGGACACGTGTTTTTTAAATAAATATGTAGTAATTAAGTGAAAAAGGCTTTAAAACCTATTCACTCCCCTCCAAGTCTCAAAAACTTTCACTGACATCACTCTTTAAGTGGTAAGAGAACATAACATCGGATATCTGATATCATTATTTGCTTCATTCACAAACCTCTAAAAACTTTATTGACAACCATTTAGCCATATATGATGTGCTACTTGAGCCCCATTAATGGTAACTGGGGGACTTGAGGTGGACCGCTCTTCAGAATGACTATAACGGTATAGCAATTTGAATAAAGCTGGGCTTTGGACTCTCTAATTGACATATTCTCACTCAAACTTGGTGAAATTGTCAAAAATTATCAGAACCCTGAAATGGGTCATAATTGTAGTCCACCTCTCTATTGCAACGTTATACTGGGTACGTGCTTAGTTGGTAAATATTTAGGGGTGCCCATTTTGCACCTGAAAGTCAACAACAACAACAATAATAATAATAATATGGAATTATAGACAAGGTTCAGTATCAACCAAACATAGTATCTCCCTAATTCTCAGGGAGACCATTAATCCAATCAGTTAAACCTCAGGCATTCTTGTCCAGCAATTGTAAACTAAGACAAGCGAATAAGACGAGTGAAAGTACTACTTCTTAAAGTCCAAGTAGGTTTGTCAGCGAGCAGATACGTTATGGGGTGCCCCTATCCAAACCCGTTCAGTGAAGAAAAATTAATCATCTAACCCCCCTGATTCAAAGTCGAGACGTATTCGAAGTACTTCGTGCTATGTATAAATTAAATAACTAAATACATTCCAAAACATATTCAAAATATATTTTTTAAGAAAAAAAATTTAATATAATAAAACATCCAACAATCATAACCATAAATTTTGTTAATTTTATGATTACAAATCTAAAATAATATTGAACAGAATAAAAAATAATAATATTATATCTATATATATATCACAACTAAATAGGACGGGTTCAAAGTAAAACGAATTTTTGACTCTCATTCACACACCCGCTCCTAACCCAATTAGATGAGAACCAAAACCCTTTTCATTAGGAGAGAGGGTGGGGCTTTTCCACCTAGGCAAGTTAAATTGACATTCCTAGGTCCAAGATACTTCAGCATAATTGAACAAAGCTTTTGTATTACCCAGTCATCTAATTAACGTTAAATAACCAAATATTTTTGGAATGTGCATTAAGCAATCAAAGTAAATCTTGAATGCTGGTTCAGTGCAGAACCATAAAATTCGGTATTTGAATCATAAATTAAATAGCATGTGACAATCTACCATTTACAGTCTTTTCTGCATTTAATTCACAGTCAGGGACAAGTATTTCCGGAACAATTAATATATAGAGCTGACATGCAAATCAAGTATCTGTCTACGCAATTTAAATTTTGAAGGAAATCAAGGTTTGTGACTTGCTATCATCAAGCTGCGCATATTCAAGCAACTAGGCAACCTTGAAAGAAGAAGAACTGACTCAGCTCATTTGGACCTGCCAAATTCTTTAACCTCCGACCTGAATCAAGCACTCGAGCACAGGTCAAGGTAAGGGTTGGTAAGGGGAGAGACAGAGAGAGACCCATACCAAATCAAATATTATACAGTTTCATCAGGTGAAAGAATTAGATCTTCAATAACCACATAATTTATACAGGAGCTTATATTTTGGTACTGAAATTTACTCATAAAGTGAGTTCAATGAGCACAAAAATTGGAATGTTTTTAGTCCTAGAGCTAGAATTATAAATATGAAGAACAGTTTGAATCGGTGAACAAAGGAACAGTAGCCAATATAAGGTTCACCCTAGAATGCAAATTTCAAAGGGAAAAAGAAGTTACACTTTTGTAAAAAAAAAATAAATAAATAAGAATTCAGGACCATCCAGTCTCTCTTTGGTTGCAAAGCACAAGATGATGATAGATGAAGTTCAAATAATAATCGACTTTAATATATTGCTAAGGGGGTCGACCAGGAAGCATTGGGGATTGCTGTAAATAACAAATCTAGGCTACTGATCAAAGATTGAGCAGAATAATGTTCCATCAAGACAATGACTAAAAAGCATACAACAGAAAAGGAACTTACTTGATTTGATTGCAGTTGAACTCACAATACCCTCACTTGCCTTCTCTTTAGGCTTAAATTTCAAATAGTTTGTCCAGTTCTTTATCGACATGAAATCTCTGTGCCCGTCAGTACAAGTTCTGACCTCCAACTTCAATTGTGGAAGCACTAAGAGGTTTTAGCTCCTCTGTAAGGATCCCCAGTCAAGCAACCACTAGAGTCTCCAACTAAACATCAGACGGCAACAGCGCCACATCTTCGCTTCAATGGGTTTCAACATCATACCCATCAAAGAAGCATGAAGCTTTCGCCAATTCTAGTAGAATTTCTCATATTGGGTTCTTTTTTTATTCTCTCTACCAGTCCATAGACCCTGACCTGTGGGTTGAAAATCAAGACCCAATAACAATGAGACAGGTAGACCAGTTAACATGTTGGATTCCTTAACCCAAAAAAAAAATGAAAAACTGCATCCCAACTCCTTGGACCTTAGTCTTACTGTTTAAATCTTATTAATCAGTGTTTCTGCATCATGTTATTCACAAGACTAGCAACTTACTGTTTTAAGTACCGTTTTATCAACTCCAATATAATTATAGGACTTACAAATAATAATAACAATAATAATAATAATAAATAAACTTTAAAGTCCACACTCCACAATCTCCGGAAACAGATGCAAACATTAGAGCAAGATTTCCCAATAGGAAGGGGACGAACAACTACACAATCTTAATGATTTTCAATGTGCTAACTGACAAGATTCCATTGAGAACCATCTCTAACCACAGCCAACTATTTGTAGCTCACAAATAGGAAGTTCTAGTTTAAGACGCATAGCTTAATGTGAAGAAATAAGAGTATGCATCAAACGACACAAAGTGACATCAAATAAGCAAGCTACCAAATCAAAGTAATTTCAACTGAAAAAAAGGGTCATTACAAAATAAGGTCCCCGTTACTCAATTCAACCCGCTCTCACGCTTGACAGCCCGAGCATAAATGAAATACTAGTTTCTACTTTGGTTAATCAATTCTTAGGTACAAAAATGTCTCTCACTACAAATTCATGAAGGTCCAATGCTCTCAGAGAAAGGTTTTTTTCATTTATACTAATCAAACATTTTTCACTCAATTATGGGCCACATTGTCCCAAAGATTGTATTATTTCAAATTATCTTCGCCATCCTCGTTCGTCAGCCTCTTCTTTAGTTATTTGACAAAATTAAAAGCATAAAACCATGTATAAAAAAGAGTGCAACTTCCTACCACCACTGACTGGTAGGGATGAACAAAATTTTACCAAACTAGAACTGCATGTACCTTCTAAACATATCTTCTGCAAGTAAATAAAGAAATCCAAAAAGATCAAAAAATTAGTTCATTTTCAATTTCCATTCCAAACTGGAGATATACCAAATATGATAATTTTGATAGATGTCTAGATAGATGTACAAACGCATGTCAACTAGTGCATATATATGCATCTCAAAGAAAACAAATAGAACCTGTCCACATATCAGGGGTAACATATACTATTAATACCCTAGCAATCTGAATTTTGTAACATACACTGCAAAACATGAAACATTTCTTGATCCAGAACACTAAATTCAGTAACCCAAAAGTTGATTCAAATTTTTTCCCAAGTTATCTCTTTATGTGACAATATAATTACAGATAGAATTTAGATAAAATAAAGAGTATTAGAACAAGAATAAAAGAAAACGCCAAAATACAACAAAGGAACAACTTATAAAGGATATTTTTACACAATTAATATTTTAGAACAATTATCAAAAGTTACAGTCCACCAAGTATACTGGGTTTATGAAGTTTGGGCACAAAGAAATCAATCATTGAGAAAATCCTCAGTAAGAAGGATTCTCTGGTGTAGAAATAAATAAAATAAGAACTCCATCAATAATTTGATAAACATTGAGGCAGTACCATTGATCACTTGTAGATGATACAAAAATTTATCACCTATTAAAGCCTATACATTGCACTTGAAGATGCCCCCATCTAAATTTACTCCACCTTTGATGGAAAAAACGAGCTTACTGGAAAGACAAAAATAATTGAAAAAGACAACTAAGTTATGCACCTGAAATAAAAATGCCTAGGCTCCCGCACAATGGTCATTGAATTTAATTAGCACCCAATTCTCTGCGTTTAATTTCTAATGCCAAACGCTCATTCTCAAGCTTCATATACTTGTTTTCTAGCCTCATCTCCTCCAGCTCCCTGTCTTCTTGCTCGCTACACCTAAACCACCTGAACCGCTGCTTCTCCAACTCCAGCATCTGGGCCTGAATGTGCAGTTTCTGCTCCTCCAACTGAAGTGACCGAGACATAATTGATTCACTCTGAATCCGTTCTACATGCCTGCCTTCAGTGAAATTTTGGCTCACATTGGCACAATTATTTGAAGAATGAGGATCTGATTTTTTTTTACAATCCAAAAAGTTCAAGGCATTGTCAAAACCCACAAATGCTTCCCCATTACCCTTAAGTGAAGCATATTCCTCAGTTTCATCATCTCGAACAACAGATTCTACAACGTGATCATCTTCATCAATGGCCTCAGATTTGTGCAGCCTTGACTCCTGAGGATCATCGTCTTCTTTACTTCTAAGAGCCAACTGCAAGGACCATTGAAGAGTTCGATCATGAGGAAGGTACAACCGATTCCCATTGTGATAGGAGCACAATTCTTCATAAAATAATTGTTTTGAGCTTAAAATCTTCTTTACAGCCTCCTTTGCTTTGTCAGATAAGTCTAGCAAGTCTAAAAGTGCTGGCTCCTCAACCACCTTGCAAGAAGTGCCCCTCCCTAGTATATCATTCAGTCTCTTATACCTTTTGTTCAGATCATTAAATTTATCTTCACACTGCTGAGGCGATACATTATAACTCCTCTCAGCCATGACCTTCGAAATACACCTCCACTTCCCTTTCTTTAACGAGGACCTCTTTCTTCTGACACCATTACAATCAAAGGAAACATCCTCTCCTATGTAAGAAACAGCAGTAATTAAAAGTTTCACCATTTCATCTGTCCACTTTACGCGCTGCCAGGGGGACTCCTTTTTCTCTCTATCACCTTCATTGTTCACATCAACACTTTCTTCCACCGTATTCGATCCATCAATGCCCCTCGCAGATGGTTCCAGTTGCTCAGGTTGTTGCATATTCCAAACCCTTACCGGGAAATCATCTTGAAATTGTTGGGGATGGGTCACGAAACTCCGGTATGGCAGTGCATCTTGTTGGTGATCAACTTGCATCGATCGTTGCAAGTCTAAGAAACCATATGAACCGCTCGGCTTCAAGTTCTTACTAGCTGATGATTTTCTCTCCATTGTTACACAAACAACCTCAAAATTGAACCCATGTAAAAAATTCCCATCAAAGGTCAATATAATCCAACAATGCTTCGTCCAGCTCTACAAATCAACAACCCTTTGAAGATAATTCATGTATTCAACATCATATAAAAATCAAAACCCAGTTTGAGTCTTGTCATGAAGTTGCTGTTAGAAGAATACAAACTAAGGTTATGAACTATATGAAGTAACAACTCATTACAGTTCATTCCAAATAATAAATTTAGAGAAATAAACAACAGCATATATATGATATCAATGCAGATTTCTCATTGAAGACAATACCAAGGGGATTAGATTACGAATATCAAGACGAACCTGAACAGATTGATTCCAACTCACAATACCCAAATCCAGTAAACTAAGAAAACCCATTAACAAACTAAGAAATTACCTCAAAATGAATCAACCCCACAAACTCTTTTCCAGATTTTGTGTCCAAATTCGATTCTTTTGAATCCAGTGAGTGTAAATCTTGTGTTGATGTATATGGCAAGTTATCGAAAAATAAAAGTGAGGTGATTCATGGATTCATGGAGCCCTTGGCACAATCCGGGTTTTGAGGATATGACGAAAGCAGACCGACCCGAATAAATTGGTAAAGTTTTCAACAACTCCCAAACTATTTTCAAATATCCTGAAAATATATGGAGTATATTTTTTATCAATTTAAATAATTAGAAAACGAGACCTAATCTTTAATATTATTGAATAAATTCCTCGTCTTCGTTCCAAAATTTTATACGAAAACTTTCAAATAAATTATATAAATTGAATTGATATTCAATTTTTTTTTAAAGTGTGATATATTAACATTCTATTTCTCTATACCTGTACTTTAATTTAAAATGAAATGACACTTCTAATTTTAACTAATATATATATTTTAAAAGGACACAACTATCCTTCTAAATATGTTTAGGTCCACTTCTCTATTTCTAATTTTTAATATTTTTCATCTCTTCCGACCCAACAAGCAAAATATCTCCATAAAAAATAAATAAATAAATTGGACCCAAAATAAAAAATTGAATGTATTATTGCATTGTGTCAATCAAATTCCTAAAATAAATTAAAACAGTTAACATATGAAGGCAAAAAGATAAGTTAAGCTTTTATTTTTTAAATGAAATATAAAATTTCCAACCTTAATTATGTAGAGAAAATAATTTACAATTTTTTTTTTTTGTTTTTTTGCATATCTGACTATCTCAGTATTGACAATTTAGCCTACTCGCGTCCTTGTAAGTTTTCTTTCCTCTTATTTGATCTATGCTTTTTTCAGTCTGTTTATTTATTTATATTTTTTTTTTTTTTTTTTTTGAGTGATTAATATGTGAATGAGCAAAATAGCTTTAGTTCATCAGTCTATTAGTAACGAGAAAATTTGAACTCAGCCTTCTAAATTTTCTTTCAAAACCATCACACAGGTGAGGACAAGTTTCAACTTGATTGATAGTAGTTTTTGTATAGCAAAGATTGATATGATCTATTGTAGTAGTATTGGGTGGTGTAACTTGTGTAAGTTACATTAAGACTGCTACCTAGTGATATTTCGTCTAGGTAGAGGTTTGAGTCTCCTCAAAAACATTGTGGAAGTTCTTTAAGAAAAAACAAAAAATTTCTCCCACAATGTTTAGAAAGTTCAAAACAAGGTGAGTGCCGCCTGATGGTTTTAATTGTAGTGTGTAAAGGTGTGTTTGGATCTAACCTTACTTTCATTTAGGCAAATTTTTGGGGAAAGACATTTTGGTGCAGCTTAACCTCCCCCTTTCTTATGCTTTGAAATTTTTCGAGAAAAAATTACTATTTCTAATGTACTTAATTTGAAAGAAAATAAAAAAAAAAAAAAATTGATTTTACTTCACATGAAGTGTTCTTATGATATTTTAAGCGTTTGTAGATCATCTACATTTTATATTTCCAAACTTCATTGCTACTTTTTTTGCAGTCTAAGTTATGGATGTCTCTCCCTCTCTACCCAACTTTTCTCTCGCCTTTCTCTACCCTAGTAGCCGTCGCTCCTCACCTTTATCCCCCTGCTTCCTCCCCACTCCCTCCCATGCGAGTGGGGAAGTCCCACTTTTTACCACCCACTAATTTATAAAATCGGCGTGCTGTACATAGCCTGTTTGGTGGGTGGCTTCACGCCATCTTTTGTTGTTTTTCCTCGCTGTCGTCGAGGTTTCGCTGTAAGCAGTGTCTCTCATGTTTTATTGTGAGTTTTTGTACCCGACCTCCTGATCTACATCGTTTCCAACGATAGATGGTTGCTGGGTCGCCGGAATTGGGTTTGTTTGTCTGCTCCTTTATGGAGCTTTTTGGTGCCTACGCTGGTGTGTTTGGTTCTCTCGCCAGTGGCTTTTTTCTTTTGTTGTGGTGATTTTCCTTCTATAACTGGCACTTTTTCTTTGACTTGTCAAGATTGTTGATCTTGACTATAAGAGATGTTAGTTAGTTTGGAATGATGTTTTATGTGTTTTTGATCTTCTGTATCTGCCTGATGATCTTGTTGTAGATGTCGTATGGCGTATGGCATGTTTTCTTGCTAGGGTAAAAATAAAAAATTAAAAAATTAAAAAGCTATGGATGTCAATTATCACTTATACTGAGTAAATTAAAGTCTAATCTTAATGGTTGACTGTCACATCTTTGCTAATACCTTGGAATGTTAAATCATCCTGAATTTATTATATTTGTGTGAACATATGGGTGTACTAATTTTATCACTCTTTCTACTTTTCATATAACTCTTTGGGTTTCATTTGGTGCGCATAAATGAAATGAAATATTTGTTCAAGTGAGAATAAAAATAGAATAGAGATGTCACTCTCATTTTGTTGTTTGGTTTGACATATGAAATGGAATAATTCTATTTGGTAGATCAAGATCCTCTCCATTTGAACAGTTACCCATTTTTTCCATTTTTGTTAAAAATCAGTAATTACTATGATGAGTAAAAATGTGTATTTGTTGTACGCACAACTTTCATATATATATATATATACACACCATTCACAAATACTCTTCTTCCCTCCCTTAATTCAACAAACCCATTTCAGCAACCCATTTGAAAACAAATTGAAATCCCGCCATTTCAGTTTCTTCTCTCCCAAAATATCAATCAACCCATTTCAAATTTTGATTTCTTTATTTTCTCCAAAAATTTGCATGCTTCGATTTGTTTCCAAATAAAAACAGCGTTTCAGAGAGAGAAAGAGAGTAATTTTCTACTTATTATCTTCTTCTTTTTTCAAATATTGATAATTTTTATTTGTTTCCAAAATGAATCACAGATCTATTTCTCCATCTTTTGTTTCTATAAATTTCTCATTTCCTTTCTTCCTATACTAGGTCATTTTATTTCAAATTAACAAGAGTAATATCGGAACAGAGCAATATCTGGACTGACATGATTTTTTTTGTTTAATTATTTGTGTACTGCATAACATCCCAAGCAGTTTGTACATAACATCCCAACAGTTTGTAATTTAAGTCAATATAAATTATGCGTAACATCCCAATATAATCCTACTTAACATCCCAAGCAATATGTAGTTTATATCACAAGCAGTATGTACTTTATTTCATGCTTATGTTATACGTAAAATCCTAACAAATTGGGAAGAGTAATCAGATAAGAAGAAACAGACCCAAAATCAAAATTTATATTAAAAAAGCAAAAATCTATGGATGATACTCTGGAGTCATAACATCCCAACATAATCCTACTTAACATCATCATATATACTTAACATCCTAAGCAATACGTAATTTGTATCACAAGTAGTACGTACTTTATTTGTTATACGTAAAATCCCAACAAATTGGGAAGAGTAATCAGATAAGAAAAAACAGACCCAAAATCGAGATTTAGATGAACAAAGCTTAGATCTATGGATGATACTATGGAGTTTCTGCATAATACTCCAGTGAAATTACATGAGTTGTTGTTGGGAAACCAGTTTTGGAGTGTGTTTGGGTTTTTGAAGTGAAACTTTGAAGCTCAGAAGTTGTTGTCAGTCCTTGGAAAGTTCATTAATGAAAGCTGATGAAACTTCTAGAGAGAGAAAGGAAGACGACGTATATATATGCATATGAAATACAATATTTAAAATTTATATATATATAATATACAACTAAAAAAATGGATGGTGAAAAAATAATTGCCCAATATTTTTAATTGATGTGGCACATTCTCAGTCATTTATTCCAGAAAGGAGAAAATGGGGCACGACCGGAGGTGATCCTTCACCTTGGTTAGACCAGCATCAAATCTAGAATAGAATAATTTTTCTTTAAAATACCCCTTTCAGTGACCCAGAATATTTTTTAAGAAAATCAACCCAATTAATATTCTGATGATGAAGAAAATAATAATAAATAAATATTAATTTTATTGTTGTACCCATTTCAATACATCATTTACGAAAGATTAATTTATCAAAGTAGAAGCAATAAGTTTGTTAAAAAACTAAGGCAGATTAATGGTCCAATGGGTTATTACTTCCTCTATCCCAATTTAATTATTCTATTGTATATTTTTCTTTTTTTTCCTCCTAACAATAGTGAGTAGATAGTGATGGTTAGCGGGGGTGGGGGGAATAGGGGTGGCAAATTCCATGTTTTCGAGTTATAGTTGTGTTGTGTCAACCTAAGGATATTCTACTAAATAGTTTAATTCGAACACGATTCGTTTAATATTCGTGTCAGAAACCCTCAACACTAATCCGACCTGTTTATTAAACGGATTAAATGAGGGTCCAACCCTTTATCACTCAGGCAACACCACCACACGTATATAATTTTATTGCGCCCTTTTTATTGAATAGGGGTGGCAAATTCATGTTTTCGAGTTATATTCATGTTGTGTTGACCTAAGGATATTCTACTAAATAGCTTAACTCGAACATGATCCGTTTAATATTCGTGTCAGGAACCCCCAACACTAATCCGATCTGCTTATTAAACGGGTTAAACATGTAACCTGTTTAATGAGTTATTTACTAAAATAAAAAAAACTATATTACTTAAATTATTACGTATCGAAAATATATATATTTAAGTAATGTGAGTGTGTGTGTGTGTATATATATATATATATATATATATTACTTTAATAATAGACAATTAAACAATAAATATTAGAAATATATAAGTTTCAATTCAACCAAATTATTAAATAGTCTCTAGTCTACAAAAGAGTAAATTATAAAACACAAGTTTAGATAATTATTTTGGAACTTAAATATAAATTTGTTTTTGACACGTATAGTTAAACGGGTTATACAGGTTGAACCCCTTAACCCAAACATGACACGAGTAACTAAACGGGTTAATCGTGTCGATCCGTTTCCAGCTCGAATCCTTTTGAAACTCAATTTAACCTCACTTAACTCGAGTCGTGTTAAAACTTTGCCACCCCTACTATTAAATAGATTTTTCAATTTATTCCTCCTAAAAGCTATTACTGGTGGGACCCAAAAGTTGTCGTCGACACTTTAATTTATTTTATTATTTTAATACAATAAGAGTATTTTATAAGGATGACAAAATATAGTGCATTAATTTTTGAAACATGACAACTATTTTGGGATAACTAAG